ATTCACTACAAATCTACGAACCCCGTACAAACGTGAAGGAAGAAAACGTAACAATACATTTGGCAGTGACATTTTTGTACTGCATTGAAGAATCTGGATCTCATTTTCATGATCTACAGGTTGTTTTGATTTGGATTGATTGGCTTATGATAAATCACATTATGTATATTTGCCTAAGCAGATGGTTTCTTTGTCGAAACTTTCTAAGGAGAACTGGATCATATTTGTGTTACATACTACTACCAAAGGCTGTGTGATTTATGTCGCTAAATAGCGAGAGTTCGACCTTCTTTTATACATCGTTCTAGATTTATTATAGTATTTGAATAGAACATGTGACAACGTATGAAAATTCTTGAAATGATATAAATTTTGTGCATTCTGAGTTATAATATGAACGAATTATAATACTGTTAAGTGAATCTAGCGCCAGAGTGTCGCTATGGTAAATAGAGTGAATTTTAAAGAAGGCATTCATTCTATTGTGGTTTATGCGTTGTCGGCGAAGTAGATTTAATTCAATCCAATAAGTTTAAATGAAAGGCAAGAAAAAATTCGTATAATTTAGTATTCTGTACAAGGAAGTAATGGGGTGTACACATCAGATTTTTTCATTTAGAAATGCGTAACAAATACTTAGCAACATTTGAAAAAAAATAAAAAAGTTTGAATAAAAAATTAAAAAATCTGAAACCTTTCAGATTTTATATTGCACCCAAAAGTGTGCTTTTTAACGTTTTGCATGCTACCTTTACTTATTAAATATCATGTTCATCCCTCTTAAACCACATAAAATTCAATTCAACAGCAATATCACAAACAACAAAACAGCGAATCTTTACAATTTCCCATATACAGACTCACGTGCTGCAGATATTTTTTTTTTTTTTTTTTTTGGATCAGTGTTGTTATTGCTCGCTTTGAAATCGTTGAGCTTGTTCATAAAAATTTGTTAATGTTTACAAAATATGAAATAGACAATAAATCAAATTCAAAATTCGGCCTTCCAAGAATTACGACAGAATTACGTTATTCAAAATTTGATGGCTCTAGTTGCCATCGTTTTTCACAATGCGAGAATTATACATACATTCATGCAGATTCATGCAGCCGTTTCTGAGCTAATGCTTCTTTAGGTTAACAATATTTTAAGGTCAAAAGCCTACCGATGCCTTTGCAAATTTAAGTTTTCATACTAATCCTGGGCGAATGTGTCGCAATTTAAAAAAAAAAAAATAGTCTTATATAAAGACAAAGATGTGTCGAATGCTATTCGTGCACTGCAAATTACAAATTAAGTCGAATGCTTTTGGAAATACATAAGCAAAATTTGATATGATTTACACAACATTAATCTTTAAATTTTTTGAGCGTTTCAAACTTGATTCTTCCTCTTCATTCTTTTTATATTATTGTTATTTTTTAATTTGAGTTCTTGGGGGGGGTAACTTTGTTTCGTATATAGTACACATATTTCATTTAATACTTAATACTGAATTTTTGATATTATTCCAACTATTAGCAAACGCATACCATACCTAACACTGCATAAGACAGTAATATAAAACTCATATTATTAAATTCTTTTTCGGTTATGAATCACATATATAATTTTACCTAGCATTTTCTTAATGAAACAATAACATAACACAGAACATATTTCTGTTACATAATAAAGAAATTTGAAAACAAGAAAATATGTATCCTTATGTGTAACAGACATAAATACTTCATACGTAATGGTAATCTAAGGTGTAAATAAATCATCTAAAAAGGTAATTTCTCCATACAGTCTTTTAAAAGAGAAGGTACTCTGTTTTCAAGAGAGCGCAAATAGTTTTCATTTCTTCTTTCTAAGAATAGAAGATTTTCTACCACAAATAGTATCTATTGCCCCCCCCTCGAAAAAAAGAAAGAAAACATCAAAAATCTGAAATCTTTCAGATTTTTTACTATGCACAAAGGGGCTTTTCTTAACGTTTTTTGTGTAACCGTTATATATTAAATATCATGTTTTCGAACTTAAACCACATAAAATTCAATTTAAGATCATTATCACAAATATTTATAAACACCAAGTCTTTAGAATTTCCGATAGACAGTCCCGTACGCTGGGGATAAAAATGTTTTTGTTTTTCGTACAGTGTTGCCATTTTTCTCTTTGGATTGGATTGGATTGGATTATTCAGTTATGCCAAAGCACACGAAAGCTATCTGCCTGAAAGTAGGGATGCCTTCGTGGAAGAATTTCTAAGGGAACCTGTCTCGTATACACGTTACGCATGGGGAAAACACGAAAATGCACCCATGCAACCAGCCTGTTCGCGGAATTCGCATTTTTCTCTTTGAAATTGTTGAATTTGTTAATAAAAAAATTCGTTAAAATTTTAGAAAATATAAAATAGCTAATAAAAAATTCGAAATTAAAAATTCACGCTTCCAGGTTGTCATGATTCGGTGTAGGAATACGTAATTGAAAATTTGATGGCTCTAGGTACATTCGTATTTTTAGAATGCGGAAAATATGCATACATTCATGCAGATTTTTCATTATTTAATTTCCTTAAATATAATACAGACCGATAATATTTGGTAACAACATTTTGAAAAGTGATTCAGAATTTTAGAGCGAATCAACGCTAAATGCCGTTTCATAACTAATAGTCTTTCTGGGCTAACACTCTTTTGGGCTAAAAAAGAAGATTGCATATATTGAATTTCATCTCGTAAACACGTGATATTATTTACTGAAGAATTCTGGGCAGCAATCAAAACTGTTTAAATGTCAAATGACTATTTCCATGAAAATGCATTAGATCTCAGTAGATGAAAAATAAAAATTGTCGGTAATGATAAAGTAAATATCTTACATATACATTTTACAAAATATTTTTGAGACATCCATTTTAACTAAAATTAATTTTACTGAAAATGCCATTTAATAAGAGCTTGTGACATCTGCATCAATGATCTTAATTACTGAAAAATAATGGCTTGAATAAATTTTGATACAATACATTTCAAAATTTTAATTTTTTATTCGAGTATCAGCAATAAGAGAAAAAAAGTCCATTCGGATATTTTACTAAACTCAATAAATGAATTGAAATTATTTTAAGATCAAATACCTTTTTACTGCATTGCAAATGAGTACACATACTTCTTTTCTTTCAAGATATTTTATTTAGCCATTTATTATTTACCCAATCAGAGTTAAAATCTACTTTTAATTCAGTAAATCAAATTATAGAATACCCATCTTTCGGCGAAATTAAGCCATAAAATCTGTTTAACTAAATACAGAAGGTACTTATATATCTAACTAAATAAAATGTTGCAATTAATTTCCTTGTGTAGAAGTACTAAATTAAGAATAGAATCTTATTTTTGTTTTTATAGTACACACAATTAAATATATAATATTCGTATTTTCTTAATACAAAACACATATGGTATTATATTCAACTGAAAATGAAAGTTATATTTTGTTAAGTCTGCGAAACCTGGCTATTGTACTGGCGAAAATTATGTTGAAAAACGCATAGTAACTAAAAACATTAGTAACTAAAAATAACAACGGTATGCTATATATCGGTGAATTGTCCGCATTTTGAGCTCGTAATAGATATATAATTCAGTTAAGTTAATTATTTAAAAATATATTTAACTTGATCTACGAAGAAGGCTATGTGATTCGGAAAATTAAAATCCAGTTGTATAGCGAAAAATACTAAGCTAAGTAATATACATAATAATCGGAAAAATATGCATGTAAATGCAACCTTTTGCATATGGAATTTGAGGTTTGGGGACTTTTGTTATTCAAATGCACCAAATAACCAAAGAAAATGCATTATTTAAAAGATCTAAACATAATAGAGAAGGTTTCATTAAGTAACATAAGAGTGGAAATACAGACTGAAGAATTTATGCAGTTACGGGCTGCCAGGAATGATGTACATAACAGATAAAAGTCTCGTATAAGTTCCTGAACTGAAGAATAACATAAAGCACATGGATCACAAAATTAGATAAAAATATTCCCATGTTATCGAGTTGTTCCATATACCACAGCTTCAAACATTACAGGAGTGTTGCCTAAAAACACGTGTAAGTAATGCGATCTTGAAACATGCGCCAATATGAAGATATCAATCATTCAACATCATTTTTTTCAATGTTATTTCTTTGTGCCGACGTACATAGTATACGATCCAAGAAACTTATCCTATGAATTACAATAATGTCGCAAATAATTGGTACTGTTGGATCTGTTACTATTAACTGTTGGTCTATTGCTATTGGATACAGTTAACTGTTGGATCTATTATAAATAATTACAAAGAGACATAATATTTAAATATAAAGTTTCAGATTGTTAAGAAGTACGTATGCTGCCTTCAAATCGCTCAGTTTTTTAAGCGATTGCAAATAAAACTCCATAGATAAATTAAGGATTTAAGTCAAGGGACAATACTCTAGAAGCTGGTTATTTCTCAGACCGACAAGTAGATAACTCATACATCATACAACTGGTACTCTTCCAACACATGCTAGGACATGTCATTGGCACGCTGCATGACATATGGTAAAAATGCAACACAAAAAATAGAAAAAATTCAAAGTAGACATTTCTAACATTAAACGATGTTGTACGATACATATGTGTGTATGAGCTACGCTATATAATACAAATTGTAGCTTACGTTATTTTTATTTGCATGCAAGTACATGTACTAATCCTTTTACTGTTCATTCTTGAATTTGGTTTGTTGCTTTTTACGTGTATTATGTTTTAATTAAGCTATCTAAAATTGCTTTCGATTTTTACCAGCAAATACGTGAGCAAATTTAAACATTCACAATCACTATATACATACACTCCAGTATTTAATTTTAATACTTCGCTTATATCTATGGACTGCATAAATAATTTGAATGGGTCAAGATACTTACAAGACATTTATAATAAACTGGTATATAATGAAGAATGTACTTACCACATCTGCCTTGAAATTTGACAGTTATCTCTTTCTTCTCTCGACACGCAGTTCTCCGTAGTTCACACACGTTAGGATAGTCCTGACCATCCGTTCCACAGACAGGTCGCGATCCTCGACTATCTCCATACGTCGCACATTTTTCTGGACAGACGCATTCGCTCGTCTGACCGTCCGGTGATGGTCGGCATTGGGCGCCGAAATGACACTCCTTGTCTTCACAGGGATCAGTCATGTCAGCTGGAAATTTGTAGCAATTTTCGACAAGTCCAACACATATTATCAAGATGACAGGCGAAACTGTTTTTAAGTAAATCGTCATTTCCTCCAGTGATACTTACAAGTAATTTTTGCTTAAAAGATCATTACAGGTTAGTGTAAAGACATCATGAGATGAAAATGCTAATATCTTACACGTAAGAAATGGTCCACATATAAAAGACATTTTAAAAGAGATATACATTGCTTGATTAAGAGCTTTGTAGATTTCTGACATTCTCATCTTGGCTCCTTTTTAGCAGCAAAGCTTCAAATGCAGACCACATATCCATACTGGAAAATGAATTGAAATATGCTCTGCTATTCATTGTTTATCGAATATATTTTTCCGTTGGAGTTTATATAAGTTTAGAAAGAACTGTAGAATAAAACAAAGTTACATAATATTTGTTTGCTTTTGGTTTCATTTTAATAAGCCTTTTTCGATACTTTCTCTCTCTCTCTCTCTCTCTATATATATATATATATTGCTGAAACTTTCTGCTTTGAGAAGCTATTTGGAAGAATAAAGTGCAAATAATTTTATTGCAAAGTATCGGTAACATCAAACGTAACCTAATTTACAGAACTACATTTATGGAAACTATGTAAATTTTCCTTTTTCTATCGAAACAAATCTTTCATTTCAACAATAAGAATAACAGCGAAACGGAAAACTCACATCATTGAATGGAATTGTCATTTTATGTTGAAAATATACATATACCACCTAATCACTATATTGCGCCAAATTTCATTCTCAAACGAATTTTGATTAAAATGTTTTCGATTGAATCTGCACCTTTTCGTAAAGTATAATTTTAGGTCAATATCACCTAAAACGTTCTAATTTGTTTGCGATACAAAATAATGTCAGCAGTTTAAAGAAAGTGTTTAAATAAAATGAAGTGTTTGCTCATCATCCGACACTAAAAATTTTATTTTAATCGTCATAAAATTTATTTATTCATTGAAAATGTATTTAAAATGCCCAAGCTGAAAACCTGTATTTCACTCCTCAGACATCATTTACTTTGCTTAACTATCTTTACTTGAGGAAAATATGTTATGACTGTTTACGCAACAACTTTCACAAGGTTACGCTTACCCATTAGAAAGCCGGCTGATGCACATTAACCGCCACAAAGAGTAAATCGCAACCGTCACTGCCTAGGATCGTCCGTAAACAGCGAAGAGAGAAATCGTTTCGTGCTCCGGAATGACAGAAGCGTGGAGCGAAAATGGCGAAGCTCTGAGCCATCCTACTCATTGAACATCGCGCGCATGCGCCTACATCACCAATGCTCAAATGAAGTATCTGAGAGCGAACATAGCGCCCTATGGGCTGATAGCGATGCATAACTCCATACAAGAATGAAGAACTTCAAGAAATAATTTTGAACACCCAAAATTAATTTTAAAAATGATAATTCAAGAAAACGTAAGCGCTGAAAAGAAGATAACTTATATGACCCATGGAATAACCACCGTAAAAAACATAAAAATTATAAAAAAGTAGGAAACTTAATTAAGTAAACACCACAAAGAGAAGAAGGTTTTTATGAGCATTAAAATTAACAATATCAGAAGGCACTGACCGGAGTATCAAGCAGCTTTGCCAAAAAATGCAAATTAAACAAAATTACTTGAAATTTACCTAATAAAAATAATAATAATGGAGGTAAATAAGTTGTTAACTCGTGCCTAAAGTTTCCTTTTTCCATTTCTATCAAAGAGAGGGCAGTAACGTTTGACACATTTAAAATGAGTAAAACATTGAACATGGACAGAAATAATTATTTCCAAACAGAAGCAAACTTTATTTTCTAAAATTTATTTGAAAGGGTTGAAAAAATAGAGCTGAGTACTTCTAATTATCCTTTTACAAATTAATATGCGCATTTTTGGTGATATTAATGAAATAAATAAAGCAATAAGCAAATTAAATGATAATTTTTCATGTTTTCATTGGAAAAATATTTAGTAGTAGTGCAACAATTTAAATTCGAAATAAATCAAGAAAATTCCATTCAAATAAAAGAGTATCATATAATTAGAAATAAAACCACTTTTATTTTGCTCCTGCATCTGCCATTCCTCAGACAGCTTTCTACAATCTTCCGAAACAAAGGATTTTGCAATACGATATCCTTATTTTAATATTTAAGCAGTAATGTTAGAATATTATTGATTTATACATCATCATTAAATCCCTCCATGAAGGACAAGAAACTTGCATTAAAGAATCCATTGTTTTGAAACATATCGACTCCGCCTGAATACTTATCGTTGGATCGGAAAATAATTTTAGATGCTGAAAGAATTTTATTTTCTTAAAAAATTATAAACTAAGGTTATATAAAAATTCGAGCTTTGTAATAATATGAATTTAACAGTTTTATGTTACATCCCCAAAGAACAAATTAATAACAAAACAATAATTAAATTTTTATTAGAGGCTATAAACTGTGGTTGGAGTTTTAATAAATTTGACGTTTTACTTTAACTGACCTACATATGAATTAAATTACAATAGTTTACAGGTTTAAAGAAGTTAATTTTCATTTATATAGCAAAAATCGAAGGTGTTCTTATTGATATTTCTCATATTATAAATATTATAGCTGACATGCTGACATCATTCGAAGTTAAAATTGCAGTATCAATAAAATAATTTAAAATCAATTATTTTGAAGGTTTACATATCAAAATCTCAATTTTTATGGCAACATATTCTCAATGTGCGCGGAGTTTTAATTCTGCATTCAGATATACCAAACTGAAATAGAAAATATTAAATATTTTCAGCATATTAACTGCCATGAAAACGCTTCTCATTCTTAACCTTGTAAAGTGATTATGTTATTATGAATCAGAAGACGTGAAAAATGTGCAGTGCCCTCATCGGGATTCGAACACCGGACCTCTCGAATACGCGTCGACTATCTTTGGAATTACAGCACAAAGGCATGCAGAAAAGAGGGAGAGAATACTTTATATAATCTTTCCTTTTAAAGGGAGACTGGGATGAGGGGACTGAATCTCCAAAGTCCGGGGAGTGACAAATTACCGTCCATCACCTTTTAGTTCGGGCACCACTTGTAGAACGAATATGTTATTTTGAAGCAGGAGACGTGAAAAATGTGCAATGTCCTAGTTGGGACCCCGAACCTTCGGTCTCTCGAATACGCGTCGAATATGCTTGCAATTACACCATGAAACCATGCGGAAATAAAGAGAAAGTACCTTATAACCTTTACTGAAGATGAATTCCTTAAAAACAAAGAATTGTGTTAAAATTAAATTTTCATATCTCTTTTTAGTGTTAGATTAAATACTTTTGTTAAATTTTATGTTTTCAAATTCTGTTATTGCTTATTATAAAATGCCTCTCCAGGACAGAGTAACAATGTTAATAATTTAAACTGTAATTATTGAATTGTTAAAATTAGACTTCCATATTCATGCATTTATACATTTATTTTAGAATAATCAAAATAATCCATTCAGTGGGATAGTGGTAAGCGATTCTGATTACGCTACCGAAAAGCCCGGTTTCAAATATCGGACGGATGTTGTAAATGTATAATGTCTTTGCGACGCTCTAAATATATGGCGAGCCGAGTGTACTCTAGTGTTATTTGGTGGTAGGAGAAGAGGGGTAGAAGACCTCAGACCTGATCCTCGAAGACCTACGTCTCAAACTTGTGGCAAAACTGTGCAGGAAACTTGCTGCCACTTTTATTATGTTCATTCCAAACGACAGGCGCAAAAACGGAATACCTTCCAAAATAATATTTCTATGTCTGTTCTGAATATTTCAGACAAATGAAATAAAAAGACAATAAACAACTGTATATTTAAATCGCAGCTTTAACAACTTCAAAAGAAATTATTTTCTTAATAATATAAAGATCAAAACCTTAAAATGCCAGTTACAATGAACAAACAGAACATGTTATGAACAGTTCTGAATATATCCACCAGAGGTGAAAATTGCTGCTGTCATAGGCACAGCCATGGTACCGAAGAAACTTTGGAGATGTTTTAGGATTATACAACACAAAATACAATGTTTGTTACAACAGATGGAGTTCAGGGTCATTACAGTGCGTGTAACACCATAGACAAAACGTATGCAACTGGAGAAGAACTGGTGAAAGCGTGAGCGATAACCTGTTAACAGATTACGTAAATAATGTAACGTAAATAATGCTGTTTTTTGAAAGCAGTTTGCAAAATACAAAAATAAGTTAAATACTAAATTCCTTAAACGTATATTCTCCAGCTTAATATGTGATCTTTTTTCAAGACTGTAAAAGTTTTATGTCATTCCTAAAGAAATCAGCTAAGTTATTAAAGAAAAAGTCTTGAAAGCTGGGTTTAAGTACCTCTTCTTTTTCATCAATGAAATTTTACAAGCTTCGAACTAACAGCCACTTTCTATCAACAGTCGCTAGACGATTTTAAATTGGAGACTGTTTACCCACTTGAGTGAAAAGATATGTGGATATTTCTACTTTGATTTGGATTTGTGAATTCATGTGGAATCAGTGAATTCTGCCTGTCAAGCTCAGACCCGATTCCAGTTCATTCAAATGAGGCTAAATAGCTGATAATGGTGAATTAACATCTTCTGCAAGTTGATAAATAGTTTGAATTCCTTTCAGTTTCAGCTTTGAACTTATCACTATCAAGAAGGGTAAAGCGTGAACAATGGCCATTATCTTTCCAATTGGTCGCCTTGTTGAAGTTTATAGAAATATAGTAGCTGCTTAATCATACTCAAAACGCTTTTGTCGAACATGTTTCCACATGTTTTATAGCATTTGTTGCACTGTTGGTTTTTTTATAAAACGTGGTGTGTCTGGTGTATTCCGCTATGGCTGCTATTTTCATGAGGAGCTATGAAAGCAAATATGAATCTTAATTGTTAAGTTTTATTAAAACAACAAATCGGAAACAAATGTCATATCTTCCATCCTAAAATTTTCGCGACGTGTTTTCAAAGCAGAATATGACCGAAGGAAGCTATCTTTGCTGAGACGTGCTTATGTATTCGTAAACATCACTTATTTAGACATGTCAGAACCTGCTTTAACAATTGCTTTCTCAGAAATTATATTACGTATGAAATGACATGATCCATGTCAAGGAAATACCGGGCGTTCTGTAAAAGCAGTATGTACCACGTTGTCCTATTGGTAGGTGGCTCTGGAGTTCTCCTTATGATGCGAGATAACCGTAGATTTTAATTTATATGCAGTGTAAAGCTGACTGGGCAAAGTGCTAGGTATTGATACCAATCATGAGCGGAATTCAAATCTAGTCACAGTTTTAACTAAAAGCATTGAGTTTATATGACTGTAGATAAGGCACAATTCTAGCGTTAATGTTTTGCAGTGGCACATGTCCACAGAGCTGTTGCGTGTAAAAGCAATAAGCTAAGAGATGGTATAGGATTTATCTGAGAGAATGCTGTCACGCTATTCATACGTCCATAAACTCCTTAATGCACAGTGGTATACACACATGCATGTGCAGTACCTTTATGAGGATTTTAAGTTTTTAATAACGTTTATTTAATTTTGAACTTTGCTATTCTGTCTTATTTTACGTTTCCGGCCAGAATAAGCGCGAGTAAGTTTTTTATGCTAATGAGTCTACAAACTGTAAAAGATATTTAAGAAGTGGCTTCTATCCAAGAGATAGAGAGTCTTCCAGCTGCCCTGCTACGCGCGTGCTTTTTAGTTAGTTCGTGTCTGCCTTTAGGGGAGAACTTAGTTTCTGCTGATATAATAGGTGTATTGTGTTATCTGCATCTAGCTCACTACATACGCATTTTCAAAAGGCCGATCTTCGCGTTAATAGTCTCTGTAAAGCATTTAAATTTAATTCTTATTTAGTTAACTTAATTTTTAAGTGAATATTTCTTATTATTTTACGTTTTAGACCAGAAGTGTTGATCTCTGTATCCCGAAGTGCGGGAGCGGCTGTACGCTGTCTGAAATAAATGGTCAAGTTAACTCTTCTTAACTTGTTCGTCTCTAGTTATCGCACCTCACGGAACATAGCTTGAGTAAGCTCCCTGTTCCCACTCAAGATTCCAGTAATATTTCCCAAATCAATTAGAATGAAGAGTAGTCCTGCTGCCTTTAAAAAAGAGCAAAGGAATAGTTGTCACGTAAATCGCCTGTGATTCCTCAGAAG